CACCGGCTACGCTGTTATTCCCTCCACTATCCTTCCCAAGTTACTTAAATTCTGAGAGTCCCAGTTCTCAAATTTACAAAACAGAATAAGGTCGTCATATTCTTAACAATGATGCAGACGACTGAAATTAATTTTAAAGAGATGTAACAACTCAGGAAGAACATCTCTGTGCCGGGACCTTCTATTCTGTCGAGGCCCTGTAGCCACGGGAAGGGGCCTGACCAAGGGCTGCGCCTTTGTTCGATTCCACAGGGGTACAGGCACTAAATGGTAAAGGAGGCAAGGGTGAGGGCTCCTGGTGGCTGTGTCAGTTGTCACCTTCCTCATGGGCTGCTGCAGAAATTAGCAGTAAGTAGGCACAGAACACCCAGGGGTGCATCCTGGCTGGGAAAAGCCAACAGCGGCATCATAACCCAGGACTCTGAGCAGTGCTCTCCAAGGCTTATGGTGAAGCATGTCCTACCACTGGTGTCAAAGTGCAATTTATCAAACAGGGCAAGAATGATTTTGCATTGGGGAACAAGGCGACCAATGCGTACGGCAGAAAAGAGCCCAAGAGCCTGCAGCCTCCACCTACATCCACCTACAGTACCGTCCGGGAGCCTCGGTGCAACGGCCCTGCTGCCACAGCCATTTCCATCTGTCCCATCAACTCCCATCCCAGGACAACACCGGGTTCAGCTAGGACAAGACGGGGGTTTTAATGCTGGGAATGTGCATTCCAGGACGGTGGTCTCCTGCTCTGTCCTCCCGCAGGCCCAGACGGCAGTGGTGGCCACAAAGTGCAAGCCTGTCTTGTAGGCACATCCCTGAGAGAAGGTGTTCTCTGGTCTCTTGAGCCAAACTGCTTTGTGAACTGAGCACAATCCTCTCCCCGCTCAGAAAGCTCCAGCCACGGAATCTCTGGGTCACACATTCACCCCCACAGGTAAGAAAACCATGCCCAACTCCTCCCAGTGTGTCTGCTCCCCCGCCTCCAGCTGTCCCCTGTACATTCAGCCCCACAGTGTGTCCATGATGCCTTTCTCCTGCCAGTGTCATGGCTCCCCTCCAGCATGGTCCAGTGCACATGCCTATCACTGAGTGCAGAGCCACCTCCGAGCACAGACATGCAAGAGCCAGACCTGCCCACCTCTCCACCAGTCAGGGCCATCTCCTTCCAGCTGAGGCCAGGACACCTGCAATGATGTCCCTCAGGGGACTGTGCACAGGAGCACCCAGCTCAGAGTCTCTGTCCATGCTCCTCCCCTCAACTCCACCTCGCTCGGCCCCCATCTTCCAACCCCTCTGGACTATGCCCTGCATCCCTCCACCTCCTGCTGATGACACCCAAATCCCCTCCCAGGACTGAGATGCATCCCCCAGAATCCCTCCCCAGAGCTAGTGTGCATCCCCCTAGAATCCCTTGCAGGACTGGGGTGCATCCACCAAGATACCCACCAAGAGCTGGAGTACATCACCCCAGATACCCTCCCAGGACTGTGGTGAGTCCCCCAGACCCCCTCCCAGAACCAAGGTACACCCCGTGGATCCCCTCCCAGAACGAAGATGCATCCCCCAGATCCCTTCTCAGAACCATGGTGCAACCCCAGATCTCCTCCGATTGCCCACTGTGCTGCCTTAGCAGTCTAAGTGGCTGGCGAAGGCTCCGGAAGCAGGTCCTTATGGAAGTGTGTCATTAACAGAATTGAAACATGAAATGTAAGTGATCCCAACTAGCCATATGGTAGAGGGTCCCTCGCCTGTAACTCAAGAGGCTGCAGCTTCATAACAACACAGGGGAGGCCTGGGCAGAGCTGCCACAGCCACCACAGTCCCCAGGCACACACTGGTGGGCCCAGTGCCTACGGTGCCTGAGAGCTGGCAGGGCCCTCTTGGGCCCCCGGTATTCCCTTCCACCATCCCAGAGAGACAAGGCTCCCTGTGCTGAAGTCAGCCAGCAGGAGGCAGGGAGGAGGAGGGCAGTTGTGGTGTGATACAACCCCAAAGGCTCAAGGGAATTGACGGAAAAATACAGCCAAAGAGGGGACTGCTGAGGTCTCAGGATCGACTCGGGGAACTCATGAAAGTCATGTCCTCACTCAGTGCTAGGGTATCAAAAATTAGCTCAGCTTTAAAGCAACAGAGGAAATCACAAAGGCAAATGATTCTTCCATTTGAAAATCTAAAAGATTGAACTTTTATACAAAGAAAAGCAAAACTAGAGAAACACGTGGAGAAACCCGGGGACCCCTTCTGATGGAGCGTCAGTCTCCATGTTACTCGGTGAGCTGCGCATCCAACTGCCAGGAGAGGCGGATGTAACCGGGCGGAGGGCCCGAACGTAAAGCCCTACAGAAGGGAAACACGCATGAAGGAGTCGTTATCGGATTCAGGAAATGTAACGGGGCAGGTTAAACAGGAGGCATCAAGTCCTACCAGAGAGAGACAGAGAGAGAGAGAGAGGGAAGAAAGGAAGGAGAGAGACAGAGACAGCAGAGGGTGAGGGGAGAAAGAGAGAGACACCAGACACTGGGGGCAGCACACAGAATCCCCGCCGTCACCCAGGGGCTGTCGCACCCACAGGGCCGGGCAGGGCCTGGCAATCTGCATGCCAACAGGCTCCCCAGTGCTGCAGTTGGCCCCAGGTCCCACGTAGTGCACCACCGCTACCGACAGCCGGGTGTAATCAGCTGCGAAGGAACACAAGTTTTGAAAATACCCCAGGAACTCAGGAGAGAAATGACTTCATATTTACACTCCTGAAAATGTGACTATGGAAATACTTCACGTCTAGATGAATAAACATGTGCATGAAGAAAAAAACTTTTTTAGAACATGGTGTGTAAATGTCAGGTGCTGAGAACACTGGCAGGACATGAGTTAAGGGGAAGAATAAGCAGCTGTTTTAAACCACATTTATAACATGAGTGGGTACTTCTTTGCAAAATGTTAAGTCAAAACACAGAAAATCAAATTATAGACACACAAAAATGATAATTATGTGAGGGGAAAATATGCATAAAGGCTAAACCTTAAAAATAAACGGCATTCAGCTGGGTTAACTGAATTGGGTGACATTTATCATTCTGAAAATTTCCTGCTTAAGAACATCAGCTCTGCAGTTAGAACTTGGATGGGTCTCTGAGCCTCCCTGAGTCTGCATTTCCTCATCCACAGAGCTGAGAAAATCATCCATTGCTCACAGAGCTGCTATAAAACCAAGTGAAATTATGCACGTTAAGCTACAAAGTCTAGACAAGAAAATATTAGGAGCCATGATAGTCCATAAGAGAGGCAGCAAAAGTCAGAGAAGAAATGAACATAGACAAACGTAGAGGAAGCGGGAAGGGAAGATGTGGAAAAGGAGATGGGAAAAGCAAAGGATGATTCAGAAATACACACAAGCACAGCCCACAAAAAGGTCTTTGCTTTCACCAATGCAGAGGGTGTATTTAAGGGGAAAACAGGGCTTCCAGAGATTCACTTCTGGGATCCTGTGGAGGTAATAAAAATAAGGTCAAACACCTCTCAGGAAGTACAAAGCAGATATCTCTGCCAGTGTTGACGGCGCTGGTCTAAGAGAAAATGCGCAGGACGCAGTCTCGGAAGATGCACGATTTATGCACACACACACTCATACACACCTATGTACAACACACGTGTCAACAAGCATGCACACATATACATGTATCCCCACATACACTCAGACAGAAACATTCAGGCACACACATGCACAGACACAGAGGTGTGCCCACACAGACACGCACATCCATCTGAATGCAAAACTACACAAACATGCAACCACGTAGACTTACGGACATGCATATGCATGCATGCATACACATGTGCACACACATCCACACAGACATACATGTGCGTGCATGTAGAGACAGAAGCAAATGTGCACATAACCAACCACACATGCATATCCACCAGTATGTACATATACATGTACACACAGACACGTACCACCCCCCACATATCCAGCCACACAGACATGTCCTCCCACACATTCATACACATGGCAACAGACACATGATCTAAACATACATATGTGATCTATTTCTCAACTATATCCTACTTTTATTGTAAATACTAGGAATCATTACAATATCTACACATGAAAAGAAATGTGTGTTTTAAAATATATAGTCACTATAACAATATCTTGTATTTACAATAAAAGTAGAATAAATATGGTTGAGAAATAGATCCTATCTGTCCCACCACCAGCACAACCACAAGCTGAGACCTCAGCAGTCTGGTGCCACAGAGGCCTGTGGGCCCCAAGGCTGGGAGAAGAGTCCGGATCCTTCCAGTTAAGGTGCCTGGAATGCACCAAGCCACACCCAGAGCTCCTGGCTCATCATTCTTGGGCCCACATGGTGGGCACAGGCCCTGGGCAGCAGACAAGAACATACAGGGGATGAGTCACAGAGGGCGCTGGGAACCCAGCCGTGGCTCCCTCCAAGCCACTGTGCTTTCCCGCATGGCTGCTTCCTCCTGAGAACTCAGGTGATGGTCACGCTGCTCCTCCAGCCTTGGCGAGGAACCAAGGAGGGTGCTTACGGCCGTGCTGCAGATGCCACCACCACAACCACTGTGACTCCTCTACATCTCCCAGGCACAGGGATGTCTCCACACCCCAGAAATGCCAGCATGCTGTAGGGCCAGCATGCTGAGCTGAGTTTGGGGCTAGTGGGAGCCCCAGGCCAGTGGGTCAGGGCCGGCTGCATGGTCACGTTCCCCCAAGGCACAGCCAGGACCTACCTGGTCCTCCCAAGGCAGCTGAACCTACTCCAGCTGCATCCGGAAGACAACTTGCCCAAATGCCCAGAACGGCTCTATCCCGGCGCCACCCCATCTGTCAAGAGCTGCTCAGCCCCCACCAGGCGGCAAGCCCAGGCTGCCCACCCATTTGATTCCTATAAACCTCAAGGCGTCTCTTCCACAGCCCCAGACACCAGCGTGTACCACTGGGAAGTGTGGCCAGTGTCAGACCGGCCCAGGACACTGACCTGCTTCTCGTTCTCATCCTCCAGCCTCAGCCGGTCCTCGATGCAGCTCCGGGCCTGCAGGAAGGCCTTCCTCTGCGAGCGCTCGGTCAGGATCCGCACGAAGACCCCATACATGTTCACGCCAACGAAGAGCAAGGCGTTGGCGCCAAGCTGCAGGGAGAGAAGGAGGCAGCGTGTGGGCCTGGCGTGCCCACGTGCATGAAGGGGCCCGAGCTGTCCAGAGAGCCCAGCGGGCGCTCCAAATAGCCATGGCTTCACACTAGCCGGGACAGCGAGTTCACCCTCATCCTGTCTGGGTAGGCAGCATGTGCAACAGCATGTCAGGGAATTGAAGGGTATCCAGGCTTAGTGTCACAGCTGACTTGTGTCCCCCAAAATTCATACTTTGAAGTCCTAACTCCCAGGACCTGTAATGTGACTGTATTTGGATACAGGGTCTTTAAAGAGGTAATTAAGTTGAAATGAAGCCATTAGAGTTGTCAATAATCCAATCTGACTGGTGTCTTTATACAAAGGGAGATTAGGACCCAGACACACACAGAGGGACAATTGTGTGAGGACCAGGGAGAAGACAGCCATCTGCAGGCCCAGGAGAGAGGCGTTAGGAGCAACCCTGCCAGCACCTTGATAACAGCTCCCAGCCTCTAGACGATGGGAGAATAAGTTTCGGTTGTTAAAGTTGCCCAGTCTGTGGCTCTTGGTTATGGCAGCCCCAGGAAACCAATACCCTTAGAAAGTATCAGTGTGAAGAGTGGTCATTCCCTTCCCACAAAGGCTACATGAGAAATGCTCCAGACTCAGTGAAATCAGGATGTCATATTGAGTAGGAAGGAAGCACCAGCACAAAGACAGGGAGACACGGCGTCCAGAGGCCGGTGCTCCTTAGTTCTGCCCCAACTTTGGCATATGAGACACGAGAAAGAGGCCGGGCTGAGGAGCCAGTGCCAGCAGTGGGCCCAGACTCAAGGCTCAGGTCTAGGCTCAGACCCAGGCGCAGGCCAGACAGTGCTTCTCTCCACAGCCACTCCCCACCGCCCCCAGCCAGCCTCCTCGCTGGTCTGCCCCTACATCTCGCAGACCACTGAGCCCAGGGACTGGACAGAGGGACCTCTCATGAACCACACAGGACTGCAGCACGTCCCGCCAGGGGCCCTGCACTGGGGCTGCGGTTTCTAAGCATTGTATGAAACAGCTTTCCCTCGGTCAGCTGCAACAGTGGAGAATTTCTATGTCTGATTAAGCCCAGGCATCTCTACCTCTGCCCCAGGGAGCAGAAACCTGCAGGTTCCAGCTGTCACTGCTCCACACGGATTAAACATGAATATATGCCGCACACTATATTACACAGAGAACAGAGAACAAAAACAAACACGGTGGCAGGCGGAGCAGCTGATCACTGACAGGGAGCTCCTGCAAGAGACCAGGAGGTGGACCCGTGGGAAGGGAGACATAGGTACATCGCTCAGATGGGGGTGAGGATAGGCAGGAGGGGAGCCCCCAGGCAGCTCGTGGAGGGAGATCTGGCAACACCTGGCCCCAGACTGGATGTTGGGATCAGAGAGCAGGCACAAGAGCTGGGACCAGCCGGGTTCAGGGGCCACACAGAGCAAGGTCCACAGGGAGATGACAGATTTGGGCACCTTCGAACTCAAGGTGCATGACATGGGCTCAAAGATGTGCCCATCAGCAGGCTGAAAAACAAACCTATGGCCAATGGTCGTGTGCAACCTAGAACATGAGAGTCAATCTCTAGGAGGTGACAGGGAGGGAGGATGAGGGACAGCAATCTGCGGGGCCCCGGTGGACAACCATCCTCTGTCTCCTACGGGGGACCTGACCCTCGCCCGGCACGGTGCCCCACAGGCAAGGCAGACACGCCCACCTGACGGTGTGGGGCCAGCGACATTAAACACCACATGCTGGAAGGGCAGTGAGCCGTCCTTCCTGGATGGCACCACCCTGACCACAGCCTCTGGGCTAGCTGTCACTTGTGAGATGGCTGGAGAAGATGGTAAGACACCCAATAGGATGGTCCCCCTGGGACCCTGAAATCTCCACTATGACCCTGAACATCTCCATATGACCCGAACATTGCCATATATCTTTCCCTCAGTGCTTTCTAAGGAGCTGTCATCGTGGAGTGGATACAATCTAGATCCAGCTTTTTCCATGTGACACAGAGCACATTAGGATGTGTTCAGTGCTCAGAATCACTGAACACCTGGATGTGTGTGTGGAAAGGTCAGGGCAGGAGGGGGGAGCTGGGGCCACTGCACAAGGGGTGGTGGGGGGTGGGGGGGCACTGGAGCCACCAGAGCTGAGCTGGTGCAGCCCGAGGAGGGGTTTCAGGCGGTGCATGAAAACACACACCACCTGACAACATCACCTGAAAACATCACCGGAGCGGGCTTTTCACTGTGGGAAGGGAGGGGTGGTCACCAGGCTGACGCCACCCAGCCGTTAAAACAAAAACGTTAACTAAGAACAAAAGCTCCCTTTGAGATTGTCCACATCTTAGCTTCCTTTCTCCCGTGGTTTCCTCCTGGAACACAATGGGCTTAGATTACAAGCATATGGCAAGGGGTCCACAGGCAGGACGGGGGTGGGGGTACACAAAACAGCTGATGGGGCAGCTCTTCAAGATGCCTGCCCCTCCCATGTGCATCAGAGCCCTCCTGCATCGGGGGACAGACCGTGGGGGCTGCGACGAGGGACGCTGGGCCCTCATCTCTGCACTGCATAGAGGTGCCCTGAGAGCTCCCCCAGCCCCGGGAGGCTCCACTCAAAGGGAAGCACCGACCCCCTCTTCCCAGCTCACCTCCCCATTTCTGGGAGCGACAAATCTGTCCTCGCTAGGATGGGGCCATCGCTCACTGCTGTTAGGATATCTGAGAGGCATCCTCACCAATAAAACCGACTCTCCCCCCACAAGAAGCGTCAGACCCCCGAGGGTTCCTCGAAGGGAAAGTCTCCGTCAGCCAAACCCCGTCTCTGTGAGTTGGGGCTGCCTCCCCTCAGGGAAACCCACTGAGCGGCTGTTGAGCAGGGACTGCTGGGGAAAGGACATTTGGAGAGGACTGTGCCCCTCCCCTACCATGAGCCCAGGGCTCGTCCACCTGGGCTACATGCCCCCCATCTCCCAGACCCAGCATCTTCACCCGCCAACTGCATCTGCTGATGCAAACACACCACCCAGGGTTTGGGATTCTCAGTTCTCCCAGGAAGCTCTCTGAACTCATGGCCAAAGGGGCATTTGGGTCAAAAAAAATGCCTGCCGAGGCCGGTGGATTGTTTGAGCTCAGGAGTTCGAGACCAGCCTGAGCAAGAGCGAGACCCCGTCTCTACTAAAATAGAAAGAAATTAATCGGACAACTAAAAATATATAGAAAAAAAAAAAATTAGCCAGGCATGGTGGCACATGCCTGTAGTCCCAGCTACTTGGGAGGCTGAGGCAGGACTATTGCTTGAGCCCAGGAGTTTGAGGTTGCTGTGAGCTAGGATGACGCCACGGCACTCTAGCCCAGGCAACAGAGTGAGACTCTGTCTCAAAAAAAAAAAAAAAAAAAAATGCCTGGCCCAGTACAAGACTGTGGTGACATGGCTTAGCACATGTCACAACGATAAGGGAGGTGGGCTCAGGGTCACCACGAGCTCCCCAGAGACCACAGCTCTAGGGACTGCAGGACCCTGGGGGAGAGGGGGCCTTACTCCCACCCCACCCTACTGGCCGGCCACCCTGAAGCAGCAGATCCCATTCTGGCCTGGTCCAGGCCACCCACATGCTACCACTTCACCCACCGGCCATGTTAGCCCAGGGCCACTTACAACCAGGCATGCCCCACGTGGGCCTCGGCTGCTGGCCTTGCAGTCTGGATGCCCTCTCCGGCCCTCGTCCTAGCCAAGGGCTGTGCCAGGCTGTGAGAGAGGAAGCGAGCCCAGGTGTCCTCACCAGAGCCAGACCCTGCCCCGCCCCCACCTGCTACCTGCACTACCTCTCTGTGCTTCACTCTCTCCCTCTGACTGATGGGCAGGTGGGTGACAACTGTCATATCTACCGAATGAGAGTATCATAGAGACCTAAGAAATAACCCCAAAAAGGGCACCTGGAAACACCCTGGAGAAGCCTTCATGGGACTTACCGGCCCAGCCAGGTGGAGCCTCCCAGGGAACCAGGGCTCAGGTAGGCTGAGCACCAGCGTGTTCCCCGGACGTAGCCAGAAGCAGCAGGACCTGTCTGCAGGCCCCGGGGCATTTCTACTCATTCACGCACCACCTGAAAACATCACCTGGAAACCTCGCTGGAGCAGGCTTCTCACTGCGGAAGGGGAGGGCGGTGCATGGCTAATGCCACTTGTGGTCACTAGACCAGCATCCTGAGGGAGCCCTGAGACCTGTGCCCCCAGATGTCCCACAGTTTTTGCAGAAACCGTTTTCCCAACCTGACACCACCATTCCGCACCCCCAGATACTTACCCCTCCTCCCCAGGCCATGTCCAGGGACAGCTGCCACTGCCCAAGCCAGAATCTGCAAGTCCTCTGGCCTCTCTCCTTCCTCATGCCTTCATCAGTTGCTGCCCGGAGAGCCCCATGCCACCCGCTCTCTCCATCCCCACTGCCCTGCACCACTCACAACTGGGCTATAGCAAGAGTCCCCCCTAGGCAGACCCTGCCATAAACCAGGCTCCACCTCTCTAGCTCACTGGAGACTGCCAAGCCCTGGGCTCACCTCTGACCTGCCCCTTATGCCTCCTCCCTTGTGTGCAGGGCATGCAGCACACATATGTGCATGCAGGCGCACACACGGGAGCGCATGCCCAGCCACGCCAAGGCACACAGCCCTGGGCAGATCATGCTCTCAGGCACATTCCCCTCATAGCAGCCTTGGCCAGGAGGATTTTCCCTCCTTTCCCAGAGCAGCCTCCTGACCCCTGGACTGGGCTAGGTGGTCTCCTCATCCCATGATACCCCAAGATCACCCTACTGAGTACAAAAACCTTTTTGTTGTACTCACTCCCGTTTTCAACCTGCTGCCACCCAGTCTGCCCCAGCACAGGGCACCGAGCCCGGGCAGCATTCAAACTACCCATGGGGATGGAAGAACCACTGCAGGGCTGTGCTCGAAACCTGCCTCTTCTGAGAAGAGGGCACGA